ATGACGACCAAGACTTGAAGTGACTCTAACGAAATGGTCTGTCCGATAGTACAAACGCTGGCCATTGTTCCAGTGGACCTTCACATCGTTCGGGATATACTGCCGCCATACCATGAAGTGAGACCTTCGCGACGACGGCCGTATTCGTTTCGCACGTGCGGTGATTGGTCTGCTTTAACCAGGATTCCAAGTTTTGGTTCTTGCCGCTATGTTCTCAAGAGACGGTTCTCGAAAACGCTCGATCTCAACTTCCTTCTCTATCTCGATGAGTCGAGATGGACGTTTCTCGCGGTGTTTCGCTACGGAGAGAGTCGGTCTCGGTCTCGAAACTGCCGGAGTGTCATTTGCATTCCGACTCCCTCTGCCTTCATCTCCGCGCATCGCGGACGAGAGTCTTTTCGACAGCAGCAACAGCACAGTGTTCGTCTTCCAGGTTCTCCTCCGGTACAGTCCGTCGCGGGCAAGCTGGGAGCCCTGCAACGTCTTCGGGTAGTCACGAAGAGCAGATTTGCTTCCAGCATCCGCGTGTCACAGCGGATAGGGCTTCCTAATCACCCGTTCAGCAAGGTGCTTGAACTTTCGGACGGACAAATACATGCCATCCTTCTTGGAGTCGATGTATCTCCTCTCAGTCCTCAGTACGTTCGAACGACATCTCGGCTGCTTGTCGGCTGGGAAGCCCTGTTGCAGATGTAAGCTGCACTGGACGAAGAATTCGAATCTTGGAAGCCGGAGAAGATTCAGAAGAACCACCAGAAGAAGGCAAGCTGAAGCTTCCGTATATGTCACCAGTGGCGGAACGGTAGGTATGGCTATGGCTACAGCGGAGCAGTCGCTCCAGGAAGCTTAGCAGAAAGGTGTCCAATATCTCACTCGCCCACAGTAGGCTCTGTCAGTTGGACGGGCGCACATGAATTGCTTAAACAAGTCGAGTGACAGGAGACACGGGCATTGAGTGTCTTTCCATCTTTTCTCCATCCCAGTCACCCAATCTGCTCCAACCAGCTACGCCACACAAAACACAACTGATTTTGTTGCTCCTCTTTCAATCCTCGAACTCTCCCGGTATGCTCCTGGATCTTTCCCACCAGCCACTCTATAGTGGAAACCCTAGTGCACATTGGAGTGCTCCTTACGGCGCCGTTATTATCATGCACAACCGGCCAGAACTCCGAATGATCGTGTGACATATTACGGAGGCAACTCGGGATCGCAATGGAGTCATTCTCTTCGCGATCCGGAAACCACAAGGGCTATCAGTGCACGGCTACTTGGGAGCAGCAGCAGCGAAATCTAGAGAAGACGGCGGATGGATCCAGCTTCGATTTTGGAGGGTGAAGGCAACAGCAAGACGGAGGTCGTGATGGTCGGACAGCGAATGTAGCTCCTGACCTCGTTCGATAAAGATGGATGAGGAGATGACCCAAATGGTGGAAGAAAGAGGTCAGAGATTTTGCGCTCGCAAGAAGGCTGTTGGAATGGCCGACAATCAGAAGGAGGTTCAAGAGATGCCTCTTGGCTGAAGACGGCGCTGATTGTAAGGTGTGAAGTCGAAGTGTGGAGGAGAGTTGGTCATTGGCTGCGCTTATGCCTCATGAGGCATGAAGTCGTGCTCGGGTCGTCACAGGTGCTTATTCAGCCCAGCCGAGCCTCGGCTGACAAGCCTGAAACATATTCCTGAGATGCTCCGTGTCAGCACTCCCGGTCACCTGCGATGTACCGAGCGAAGAAGCCACCGCGACCCTAAATGCTTATCACAACAGCAGCGACGGAATGACGGTCATCTACTGCTCCATTCAAAGCGCCCGAAAGCTTACCGACGCCAGACCAGGCGTAAGATCCTCAGTTCCCCATGCTTTTGCCCGAGCACCGCCCAATGGCCTTCGAGACGTGGGCCACCGAGAGGTTTCACTGGCACTTCATTGCGTAGAAAAATTCGAGGATTTCAGGAAGATACTTTGACAGAAGCCCATGAGGCCTTAAAGAGCTTATGCGGAGCATCTCGATTATCTTAGGTCTCATACGCAGTCGCGAAAACTGAGCTGGAAGGGTAGGAGACGGAGGGCGAGCGCTGAGTAAGACGAGCCCGGACCAGCAGTAATATGGCTCAAGACGAAGTGCGACTTAGAGGGCGATGAGACAACGAAAACATGATGTGATGGACGTATCTTGGCCTCAAGGAAAATGACGAGGCTGAAGGGAAGATGAGATGTAATACCCAGCTGGACAACATGCACTTTAGATGACCATATGCGGGTCTCGAGTGAGGAGAACCCAATGAAAGGCCATTACTACCATCCTTTCACTCTCAAAACCGGCCCTGTTATACATGGAACACCCGGTGCCCTATGCTTGAGGAAGAGCAGAGCCGCGCACCATGAAAGTTGCAGCCTCCTTTCGTGACCCAAGGCGTGAACGACGCAGTAGTGAGGGCGAGGACGCAGAAAGCGATAGAATACGGTCATTGGCGCAGCTCCCGACCTTCGGGCTCTCCTACTGGTACAGGATGTGCCCAGCTCTGTGTCTTTATCAAGCGAGACATGAAGGGCGGGCTTAAGTGATGTCCTTGGCTGGTTTACCACCGAGCAGGCTGCGCAGAGGTCGTATCAGGCGCACTGGGGACGCCTTCAGCTTGGCGCGGCGAAGTGGCGCGGCGGCAGAGGAGCTGCAGTACTGCGAGACTATGTTCACTGCACCAGTAAGGCACGCCATCCCCGTAGTCATTGCAGCCTATGATCGTATCCTGCCAATCCATTGTCACGTGGATTGATGGAACATCTCAAAGGTTGCAAGTCTTCAATACAAACCAAACCGTCTCTGCTATCGAGCGGTGCGTCTGCCGCACAGCCATCCCTCTAACAACGCACATGTGTTCAAGACCTACATCGCCGTGTATCCAGAGACTATCCCGCATGCTCTTTGCCCGAAGCAGTTGCTTGTCCAGAATAGCCTTGAACTACTATCGAGCGCTCGAGGTAGTAGGATTAGGGACCCCGAGAGCTACCTCGCATGTGATGATGTGCGCGATGACATGTCCGGGAGAAGAGTATCACCACAAGCACAGTAGTATTCTCAAATAATGCGTGCTCCTCCCGTGAACCATATGCCATCTCCTGAGCTTCCACGTCTCCTTCTGCCGAGAGCAGATGTGACCACTCCTTGCTACTCTACCTTCTTCGGCTTCTCCATATCCGTCTCCGAGTATCCGTCGCGGCTCGCAGGAAGCGGGAAACGCAAGGCCCGGGAGACGTCGCCGTCTGCTGCAAGAACAAGCATTCGGTCGTCGCAGAGTACGTTGCAGATCGATGGCGCGCGGAAGGAAGTGCCGATGGCCCGGGGCCGCTCTCGTCGTGCAATGCTCGGCGGTGCGGACAAAGTTTCTCGTTGGCGTCTGTGTGGGTGTGTTCATCGTGGTGTGAAGGGTCTGATTAATGTTTCCGTTGATAGGGATGAGAGTGGTGGTTGTGAAGCCGATGAGTCAGCTTCGCTTGTGCGTGAGCCCTAAGAGTGTAGCGCTGAGAGGGTGCAGCTTCCAAAAGTGCAAGTCCTAAAGGTGCAGTCTCTAAAAGTGCAAGCAACCCCACACCGTCTACACGCAACAATCTGTCCGCACACCCTGTGGCTTGTGCAGAGAGACCGTCCACGATCTCCGCGCAGATCTCATGTATAACGCTGATCATAGTATGATATCAACATTGGTCACTTGTAAGAGTAGGTAGTGAAGCCACTGACGTTATGCTTCAGATACTGCACTCGCTTTCGCACGATCGCCCGAGGCACAGCTGAGCCCACGAACAGCGCCCTACGCCGGCCAGCGGACTGGTGCTGCAGCTCAAGGGACGTGTCAGAACTTCGGCACCGAGCTTCTTCCTCTGTACGTTCAGACAGGCTGCGCACGAACGAAGATATACCAAGGCTGCCGCGTACCACCTCTCTCCCACACCGCTCGCCCTCCGCCCTCCAAGAACTCGCCCGCCCATTCCCTCTCGTCTTCCGACGCCGTCATTCCGGGGAGCCCGAACAACTAGAGCAGAGTCTCATCCAAAAGAAAAGAGAAGATACTAGGAGAACGTCAACTGTAGCCTTACGTCGACTTACACTGTTACGTAGAATCATCGCGAAGCGCTTCTCCGCTCGACGGAGGACTGAGACTCAGCACTGCACAGGATTCGAGGCTCTTGCGACGATAAGCACAGCATTCAATCTGTGAAGGATACTGGAAGCATTATCTGTCAATTTTCAAACGCACGGAAGCTTCTGATGCACTCAACTACTTGTGATATGCTGGCCCACGAGTTGTAATAGGAGCAACCTTCGGAGGTCTGGGGCTCGTGACGACGTGACAGAGGAGCCATGGACTTCTGCTTCGTACAACTACCAGCTCCCGGCTCTCAGCTGGTATCTGTTCAGTCACAGAGAAACAGGGAACATGGTTGGAGACAGTTCTCGACGCTTCATGTGATTCATTCAATGCTGGAAATGCGGGGGCACCTAGATAGACAGGGTATGCTCATGGGACATCAGCCTGATGGAAACCGCTACGAGAAAGACTCAAAGCTATCCAGCACTCCTCGTGATCCGACCGTGGAACAGGACTGTATTGTAAGCATACCCGACCAGCGACAGGTCACAAGTCATAAATTTTCTTGAGCGACATTCCAATTTCCGAGCAGTGTCAAGATATACGGACTGCCCGGCTCTCGAGCTCGGGAGAGACGTTGCAAGAGCGTTCATGCTCATTCACACGGCGCTGCATCTATTTTCCAAGCCTCTTCAGTCCTGCGTAGAACTTTGACGATGATCTGTATGTGAAGCAAGCGGAGCGATGTATAATGCCTCAGGCATGAAAGCGGGAAGCTTCCGCAATTCGCGGTGGTCCGGGCTTCTTGTCACGACTTCCCATCTTTCCATCTCGACAAACACAGCAATCCATCGCACGCAAGGCCCCGAACACCACACACCCACACGAACTCATCAAACCCATCACGGAAAACATCGAAATGCCTGCCTATCGCGTGGTAAGTGGTCACGATCCCGGTGTGGCGCGGTCGTGCTAGTGCCGATCGCGCCAGCCACATAACTGGAACCTGACGTTTTACAGACCAAGCAGAAGGCGCCACGCAAGGGCCGCAAGGCTACCGCCCAGTCTGCACCTGTCCTGCCGCCCAGCACCCTCGGCGACGACCCAGACCAAGAGCACCCTGCCGAGATCATCGACGAGAATAGCAAGAAATACTATATGCGATGGCTCGAGCCAGACGACGACGACAAGACGAAGCTGAAGTACGACCCAGAGTGGGTGAACAAGTCGTGGGCGAATCAGTACGCTGTGGACGACTGGAAGCAGCGCAAGCGCGCGAAGACTGCGGCGCAGGCGTCTGATGGCGTCGCTGCGGAGAAAGAGCGTTATGATAAGACGGCGGGACATCAGAGGCCTGTTCAGCAGACCGCTGTCGCCGCCGATTCCGCACAGGAAGATCAGAGCAATGAGAAATCCACACACACGGTTGAGAATACGGAGAACATCGTCGATGGCGTCGCTGGCCAGGGAGCGCAGATTCAGCAGGAACAGACCGCATCTGCCGAGGGTACGGAGAACCACCTCGCCGATGCTGCAAAGGACAAGGGCTCCGCTGTGGATGTGATGGAAGTGGATGCGCCGGAAGAAGAGCACGCCGCTCTCGCCGCGGAGGTGAGCAGTGACATCGTTGCGGCCGCGGACAGCACTGCCCAGCAAGCCACTGCCACGCCAGATGTGGTTCCAGCACAGGCGGGGCAGAAGCAGACCGCATCCGCGGAGGACAAGGAGAATCACGTCGTCGATGGCGCAAAGTCAGGAGGCTCCGCCGAGGCGGATATGTGAGGAATGAGATGGCAGCGGACAAGATGGGAGTGAGTTCCGCTCCAACCGTAGAGTTGAGCGGCGACAGCGCCACCGTCGCGGCGGCGGAGATACTCTGAAGGTGGATGTCACGCATTCCCTCAAGATGGATGTGCGATATTCATGGATAATGGTGTTGATGGTTTGCTTTTTGACGGTGCTTGGCAGCGATTCAGCATTGATACCCGAAGCTCCTCGCGATTATAGCAGCGAGTGGAAGCGCAGCAATCTCCATACATGGCGTTAATAACAGATGGTCTACATGAGGTGTTCCTCCCTCCCTTGCTCCCAAATGGGTTGCTTTCCTGCATCATTGCTTCGTCCATTGTCCGTACCCAAGGACCTTGGCGGCATCCCTCTCCGAGAGGCGTACATTGTGCCCATCCCGGCAATCCTGATCAAGGACTCAGGCTCCAACATTGGTGGCTACTGCCTCCGCTCTCTCGGGCCTCGGCGATCGTGAGTCACGCTTGGTGTATCCTCGCATACCATCAACCCACATCCAACTAGGCACAAGCATCAGACGATATCAACGGCTTCATATTCATGAAAAGGATCCAGGAAATGCGACCTGGAGTCGACGATGTCACTGATACTCGCTTTCGCAGCAAGCGGGCCGGCGAGGGCGGAGCATGTGGCTCTCTTGTTATACGCGTGTATGCTGGCTGCTGGCTCTGCTGTCGACCCAGACACTGCGACACGCCCGCTGGACTCGGCGCCCTAAGCGTCAATCTTCTCTTGCTCTCTCGCGACGGATTCCCATCGCCGGTTGTATTCCACGTGATGAGCTCATTCACGGCCGGCCCGAGTCCTTCCTTTGCGGCTTCCATACTACCATGTTATCTCCGAAAATCGCCACCATGGACCGGGGTACGCACTCAGCCGCGAAACTCCGTTGCGGGAACGCGGGCGAGCACGTGTATGCAAAGTTATGCCGCAGGCAGGTGGCAGCGTGTCCTGCGCCAGACATACCCGCAGCTCCTGGTCTACCACTCGCCCTTGAATGATGCGGACAGAGCATAAGCCGATACATTTCCGTTTCGCCGAGATGAGACGACGAGACACATCGGCCTCCAACAGAACATGATACATATGCCCACGCGTACCGTCCTCACGTGGCACGCCCTGCTGATATCGAGAAGCTGCGCGGGAGCTGAAGACCCTCGCGTGATGCTTCGCTCCTGCCTCCTGGCTTCACTGACGAACATTTCATTCACCGCGCTTTCCATCACCGCCTGCCATGAGCGTAGCGCACGTCATAACTCACTCATCCGTGCTCACCGACGGTCGCCGAAGCATTTGTCATGACTCATCAGGCAGCCACTCCTTCTCGTCCTCTTCCCTTTTCTCTTTTCAACTCTTCCACCTCTCACACATTCCTCACCACCCTCATCTTCTACTCACACCCTTTCAATGCACTCCTTCTTCACACCTCTCATGCACACTTCCTCATCACACCTTTCTGCTTGCTAACTCCACCACCACCACCAGCATGTCTTATCGCCTGGAGTCTGGGGCCTGGAGCCTGGACCGGGCGGGACTGACCTGGAGCTGGAGCAGCTGGATGCAACTGGAGCTGGATGCCTTGAGCATGCTGGTGGCGGTGGACTTGAGCAGCACTTCTTTTTCTCCCCCTTCCCATTCACACCATCTACCATCATCCTCCGAGTCCCGACAATAGCCATCGTACCCAAAACAACAGCAGCCCCATTCTGATCACCACAAACGACATCACAAATCGAGTCAGAACAGCAAGCAAGGTGACAGAGACGTGTGCCTTCTCTTTATGTGATTCAGATTGTCGCTGATCCGACCTTTCAGTCTTTCTACTCTCGCGTCCTACTACGACCCCTCTTCAATGTCGAGAATCTCAACCACGACCATACTTACAGAGAAGTTCCCTTTCCCATCCATGATACGAGCCACAGCTGACTCCACCAGCCTCTGAACCTCACACCCTGCACGCTCTTCGGCCACTCCTCTTCGTTGTTGATACTGTGACAGCCTCAACTGCCCTCTCCTGCAGCCACCTCGACCATCGCAGAGAAGTTTTCCCGCCATTGCATCCTCTGATATAGCGCTGACTTCGACGTTCAGCCTTCACATCTTCCATACCTTCGACCACTTCCTCCAATCTCACACCTTCGATCACATCTTGCAACCTCACACCTTTGACCACGTCCCCTCAATCACACACCGCCCCTAGCGAAGCTTCTGCTCTCCTCATGGCTCTCGCCCTCGCTGACACCTCCACACCAGCTATCGATTGAGGTTCATCTTCCAAGCGACAACAACGACATTGTTTATCAAGCTGTCTTGACACACACAAGGTCCACATCACTCGCTCGCTTGGCTCGGTACACCCACCATCCATCTACCGATTACTCACACATACACATACACAGCCAGTTATCCCCGCTTTGCATTGGTGTGAATGGCCGCTGACCTTCCTGCGAGCTACTATTGTCCGCTCAGCGCCCTCTCGAGGCCAGTCTTCCAACGTCGACATGCCCCAATCAATCCACGTTGCCCTCAACATCACCACCCCGCTCTCGCCCGGACATCGACAATGTTGGACGACTGTCCATCACATGCAAAGCCAGCTCTTCCACTCCCTTCCACTGTCCTTTACCCCCGCTGACCGCCGCCAGCATCCCCGAGCATCCTTCGATCACCTTTTGGCCGGCATTGCCGCCCTCCCACGACAGCTCGCCTCACCCACAGTAAAGTCACCCTGCTCCCTTGCATTGCCCTCAGCCTTGCTGACTTTCTTCTTGGCTTCATGGAGGACCACTCCCTCACCTACTCGGTGACCTACGCACTCACTCACTCGCTCAATTACTTACCCACCTACCCACTCACTCACTCACTCACTCACTCACTCACTCACTCACTCACTCACTCACTCACTCACTCACTCACTCACTCACTCACTCAGGCGCTTAGTCCCTCAGTCCCTCAGTCACTCACTAGTCACGGATCGATCACCCACTCACTAATCACGGATCACTCACCCTACCGTCAACGTCGTCATGATCCATCCAATGCACCACCGCGCACGAGCAAGTCGCCCCACTGCCTTTCATGCCCTGCAATCCGGCTGACTTGACGAGGCCTTGTCGCTCGATCGTTCCTCAGCCAGGTGCGACTGGCTCCAGGGCCAACGTCCACCGTCTGCACGCACTGCACCAACATGCAACGGCCACACAAAGCCAGGTCTTCTCCCACTGCCCCATGATGCCCTGTTGGCGTCGCCAGCGCGAACCTCAACCTCTCGGCAAGCGACTGACGACACCCCGACAGCCAACGAGAATCACAGAGCATAAAGACCAACGTCCAGCATGCGACCGATCATTCATTTTCGACTGCGAAGTCTACACCCTCACTCCACTGTCCTCCGCTGCTGCTGACCCTACCAGCTTTAGCTTTGCCGTTTGCATCACTCGATGAGTTGATAGTCCACTCCGACACAGCTCCATCTGTCCACAGCAACACAGAACCAACTCACAGCTCGCAGCATGCTGTCAATCAACAATCACCATGCACAGAGAAGTTTCTCCACTCACTCAACACCTCACTGTCCTTCTTCATGCCCGACGACATCTGGTGCCGCGGCTCCCGCCCCGCACTGTGCACAGCTCAACAGCCGGCTCCGCTTGAAGATTCAACATCAGCTGCAAGCTCGAAGGGCACCATCCCGCATCAGTACTTTCTCGAGCAGTCATCTCGTCGTCCAGACACCATCCACAGCGAATTTTTCACCCCACTCCCGGCCGCTGCTTTTCGCCATCGCTGACTTGTTCGAACCGCCCTCTCGATTCCGAAATCAGCGCAACCCTGCCCGAGCGGATTCCTCGCCGCCGGACCAACGGCATGCCATGAGAAGTCCACCCACTCAGTTCAAATGCCCGATCTCCTACTGACCTTGCCAGGTTTCACACTGCTTACCCCACAGCCGCGCTCCATCTCGGCCACAATCCCAATCAAAAGGATGTTGCATGGCATTCTTATGCCGTCTAAGCTTCACCCTCTCAGACAAGGCAAAGTCATTATCGTCACCCAGTCTGCTCATCCTGCCGCTGATGCCGCCAGGCTCTACTTCTGTCCCTCTCGCGGTCAAGCGCAACTCCATCGAACCGTACTACGCAGCGGCGAGTCGCTGAACTCGTCGCCGTCCATTGCATCAGGGCATGCACAGAGAAGTCACTTCTCCTCTCTTCCGTGAACACCTGCTGATCTTGCCAGATCCAAACTCATACCATCCAACGCACCTGGTCAAGTAATGCCGACAATGCGTCATAACACCTCAGCCCTCACGCAACCTCGGTTCTCTCCACGCCTTACCTCTCAGCCATGGAGTTCCTGGCATACCGCTCGTCACGACATTATCCATTAGTCCCACGACCCTGCACCTCCCGACCTTGCACCTCACAGCTTCTCGCTTCTGGGCAACGATCCCACGACTCCAGCACGCTTCTCGCCATCCGCGACTTCATCACTCCCACTAGCGTGGCCTTTCGACCTTGCACTTCCCAACCATACATCTCGCCATAGGGTGCTCACCATCAACAGATCTCCTGCTGGGCCACCGTCTCGCAAAGCTTGGTCAACTCCCATCACCGCTACACTGCTGCATCAAGCTCACCCCTCCTGACCTGCGAGCGTCGCACATCTCGACCCTTGATCTCGCCGTCGACCAAGCTCTCCGTCCGGGACATCCACGAGCTCTTCCTCTCACCCATGGTAAGTCTTGTCGTCCGAATCTCGATGCCGCGCCTGCTCACAGACTCAACAGCCCGCCGTTAGCACACAATAGGCGACGGGGACATCGCCAAATCTCTCCCAGCAACAGTGAGTGTCATTGTCCAGCGCTTCGCGTCGCATCTGCTTACGACCTTCTCAGCCCTTCGGACATTGAGCAAGGTTTCTGCCATGGCAATGCAGTCGACTTCATCCCCCGACACGCCGATCCCGCACAAGAC